ATACATACATACATACATACATACATACATACATACATACATACATACACACACACATACATACACACATACACACATATATACATACACACATATCTGTACGTACGTACGTATGTGCGTATGTATGCATGTATGTATGATATATATATATGTTAGTCTTGCTCCCAACATTTCATAAAATGTCAATCAGATCTTTTTATGTTCTTTACAAGGGCCACAATTACCTCAATGTGATCACAACATTTCTGTGATAAGACCCTGATAAGACAGCTCTGCAAGCATGTTCAACCAAGTACACAAGGGCTTCTTCAGACTTCTGCACTGAATGCACAAGACTCTGAGGGATATCTGCACAGGAGTTCTTGGAGTGGGACTCAAATGTGTGTTCTCATTCTCAACAGTTATAGCCCCACCAGCTTTCAGGCTATAATGTCTTACATCTCCACATAACGCTACAATATACTGATTTCATGAAAATTCTTGTGCTTGTGGACAATGTGGCAGAAGCAGGTTATCACCTGAAGATTAAGCATCAGTTCTCTCATATAATGCTGTAGATAGGAGAAAAATACCAATGTCAGCAGACGGTATCCTTCAAATCTAACACAACTTTAATTTTGTGAGTTTTTGTACACTTTAGTGCATTTAGGAGTATTACCTTGTTTCCTTCAACAAGAAGTAACAACTTTTCTTCTAAATCGCTGGTTTCCTTAGAACTTCGACATTTAAGTTGTTCATATTTTTCACTTGCTTCTTTAAGTTGTTCTTGTAGCACCTGGTGTTCTTTTTCCATACGTAACATATCTCCCTGAAAAAGCATAATGTTTGTAATGCTATAATGCTTACATTACATCGTATGTAACTACAAGAAATGAAAATCACTGATACAGGACTCTAGACCTGCTGCTCTTGATAAATAACTAAACACGTTCTCGTCTATGAAGTTATTTTTTTAAATATTTGATCTTTCAAGTACCATATTAAGGGAATACTGATTTTCAAGACAGCTATCGAAAAAGTTGGATTTTTTCCCCTACAACTATGTAATAATCACTTAACTAAGTACAACACTGTAGACAAGCTCAGATCTCCATGCCCCAGAAATTATAGTTTTTAACTATGAATTTCCAACTCAAAATTAATAATGGAAATTAGAAAACAGACTAAAATAGTATGTTTTTACTATTTTTTTAAGGGATGATATTGGCATTAGCCTGGGCTCCTTGAAAATTCATAAACAAAATTTTGGAGCAGAAACATGTTCTTAACCGTTAAAACAGCTTTTATTGCTTTATATGTTTTTACTCTCTCATCTTCACTAAGCCAGCTTGGAACATCCATCTGTTCACTTACCGGCTGAGTTTCATATGGATGAAGAGGCAATGTATTAACTCCCTTGTCTGTTAATTCTTGATTCGCCTAGAATGCAAAGAGAGAGGTCAGTTATATCCTACCATTTGACGGCCAGTGTTTTTACCATCTCTGAGCTCTGTTACAGAATATATTCAGAGCCACATTGATAAGGTAGTGTTCAGAATCAAAGAAGACGAACAAGAACCATGTAGTATAAAAGAGTCAGTAGTTGGAAACATTACTTTTTTAGGACTACAGCTCCCAAAATCCCCCTGGAGAACACAAGAGTGAGGCAAGATACTGGCTGGGGGAAAGTCCTATTAAGGAGCACAGCTTTATATGATGTAGGAAGTACTAGGTGTAACCTTATACACTTCCCTAGAAGTAGCACCTGAGTAAGAATAGAATCTATATCCTAGAAAAAGATTAGTTCCATTAAGTTTGGGGGAAGGAGAAAGGCAGCCATGTAGTCTGAATAGTACCCTAAGTTGTTGGTTCTTCTGCCTGGCTACTGTTACTACTTTTAAATATGTACATAATTGTGCTGTTTTCTGTACTGAGAGAATCTCATAAACAGGGCTGATTTGTAATTTTTGGTTGATTGGGAATCTGGTGTTAAAAAAAAAAAAAGACCCACAACTACAAACAGCAGTAGCCACGGTAAAAAGATAAGAATTAGTTAACGCGAGCTAGAATTTCATGTTCCTTGAACAAAAGCAAAAATGCTAAGAGATCCTTAAGAGAAATGCCTATAATGACTATAGAGCAATATTCCCTCTAAGCTACATGTGCTTGCAGACTTGCTCAGAGCTCCATCAGAGCTGTGCATGGGCAACAGAGACTACCGTATTTTTCGCTACATAAGACGCACCTCTCCATAAGATGCACCAGATTTTTAGGAGAAGAAAACAGGGAAAAATTAGGGTGTGTTCCAGGACCCTTTGGAGGCTCCCCCTGCCCCCCCATGGGGCCAGAGGGGGCAAAATCGCCATCTTCAGGGACTCTTCTGGAGCTTCCCAAGCCTCAAAAGAGTCTCAGAAGGTGGCAATTTTGCCCCCTCCGGGCCCGTGGGTGGTGTGGGGGGAGCCTCCCAATGGTCCTGGAAGGCAGACTCAGACCCTTGGGAGGCTCCCCTCCGGGGGGCCAGAGGGAGCAAAATCGCCACCTTCAGGGACTCTGTTGAGGCTTGGGAAGCTTCAGAAGAGTCCCCGAAGGTGGCAATTTTGCCCCCTCTGGCCTGACAGGGGAGCAGGGTGAGCCTCCAAAGGGTCCTAGGGTGTATTCCAGGACCATTTAGACTCACCCTGACTCACCAATTTTTAGGAGAAGAAAACAGATTATTTTTTTTCCTGTTTTCTTCTCCTAGAAATTTGGTGCGTCTTATGGAGAGGTGCGTCTTATGGAGCGAAAAATACGGTACTTTCTATTCCACACACACAAACCTGTTCAGAGGGGGTGAAATCGCCACCTTCTGGGACTCTTTTGAGGCTTGGGAAGCCTCAAGAGTCCCAGAAGGTGGCAATTTCACCCATGCTGGCCCCATGGGGGTGGGGTGGGGGAGTGTTGCAAGGGTCCTGGAAGTCTCTCTCGGACCCTTGCAACGCTCCCCCCCACAGGGCCAGTGGGGGCAAAATCGCCACCTTCGCTCCATAAGACGCACAGACTCCCCCCCCCACTTTTTTGGGGGGGGAAAGTGCGTCTTACGGAGCAAAAAATACAGTAGGTCTTTTTTTATAGCCCTAGAGCAAAACAGCAGAGGGTAGGTTTTCCTCTAGTTTATCCTGGCCACTCGCAAGGGTCACATTCCCCCAGAGGACATCTGATGGGAATAAGTAAAATCACAGCCACTCTCTGCTACCCCCTTTCTCTTTCCTTCCACAACCAACAGTTTGCAGGGGTTTTGAAAGTAGGTTGGGCATCACTGGTTATCCATTCCTATTATACAGAAAACAGTTTCTTGAGTTACACTTGGTTCTTCAGCAACAGGAGCCCAACCTTGCCAAATAACAAATGGAACACACAAATTTAATTCTAAGTGCAACTTTTTCTACTTCTTACATTCTAATCCTAAAACATTATTGAATTTCAATGAAAGTGGTCTGCCAATGAGCCACTTTACAAAATATAATGCAGACAGGAACAAGAGCTTATTGTCACGTGCTACTGTTACTTTTCAGTTTTCACTCCACACACTGCAGCTCACAATAGCCTGTCAAAGAAGGTGCATCTGGTGTAATACTATTGTTGTTTTGGACTACTAAACTGTTTTTGATTTATGGTGACTCTTTGAGAATTAATGAATGCCAAGGTGGAAAAACATCAATGACTTTTAAAAAAATCTATTTGATTTGATTTAAGTGACAATTTAAAACATAATCTAAATTAAAATTTCATTTTTAAAATTTAAATCATAAAAAATCCTGATTTTTAAAAAAATTTAAATTGTGATTCAAATCAATCTGATTTAAATCAAATTCACCCTGATGACTGCCAAAAGGTCGTATCATTTTACACCTGCCTAAATAATCATGTGTAACATTTATTTATTTATTTATTTATTTGATTTTTACCCCGCCCCTCTAGACCATGTCTACTCGGGGCGGCTTCACAATACACTATGCACAATATATCTTCACCTGTATGACAAAATATAACAGCACAAAAGAAACGTGTAAGCAGTACTTAATTCTACCCAAAGAACTTGGATCTACAAGTAATAACTGAGAGACAAGTTCTTACTGAAGTCTAATACAAGAAACAAATTCTCTGTTTATTGGAATGAACCTGACAGCATCTAAAAAAAATGAGCCAGCCAAGAGATCTGAGAAAATGCAACCCTGTATCAACCAGCACAGCTTCCTACATACTGCTTGCACACTGATCTAGCTCACATGTCACAGTGAAATAAATTTCTTTGTTCTTGGATTAGGACTCGGACTTGTTATAAGAGCAACGACCCAGAGTTCCAGGTATGGATGTCATGTTGCACAAGCCATGCACTCTGGGCTTCTTTAGCTGGTTGTGACGTTCACCTTCTTGAGGCACCTACGTTTTGTGCCCCCACAAAGGCTCCAGTCATGTTTTCCTTTCACTGCCACCAGTGGATTACCTCAATCCACAAATAAATGATGTTTGATCAGACACTTGTATTGTGAATGCAAACAAAACTTATTTATTAAAGTGAAACCAATTTATTAATCACAGTTCTTCAGATGTACATACTGTACTATTCTTTTGCCATATACTTTCCTCCTTCCCTATCTATCTTAACCAGTCTCTAACTTTATCTCTGTCTCTTCTGACTCTGACTCTAACTCACTCACTGTGACTGAGTCCTCTCAGGGTTCGCCTTTTAACCTCTCAGCTCCGCCTCTCAACCACATTAGCATAGACATGAATAATACATGACTTATACATAACAAAGGGTGAACGCTACACTGGTTCTGCTAGGAGGAGGAGCCAAAGGGAAGTGTCAAAGCCAACTAAAACCTCTGCGATGCTGTACAATACCCCCCTCTCTCATACACACACACGCACACACTCTGCGATACTGTACAATACCACACACCCCTACACACTCACCAGAAAAACAAAAAGACTTTCAGCTCCCTGAGGAGTTTAATGTCCATAAATGCATTTTTCCTTACCTGAACAGCAATCATCCTGGAACGGGGATTGCTTCTTCCTACCAACTTATTTTCAGTTTTTATTTCAATATCAGAACCACATCCAGTTTCCTTAGTATGATTTTCAACTAGTTCAAGAATATTTTCAGAAGGTTGGTTATCAAAATTCACTGGTATATCTTGAAGGCTCTGGAACACCTTCATTTCATCACTTGCCACAAGATTGCCTGTGTTGCCCAAGACTACTTGGTCAGTATGATCAGTATGAAGAGAAACATTATAACTTGTGCATTTATAATTAGATTGCTCTGAGATATCTGGTACAAGTGGTATTTCAGGAATCATCGGAAGCGTCCTCTCATCCTGATACTCGGAAGAAACTGTATTCAGAAATACTGAATTGTTTTCAGGTGTCACTGAAGGCAAAGGTACTTTTGGCACAGTGAATGATGTTACTATTGTGTCACTTGTCTGACTTGAAAGAGAGTATGTGGAAACAAAAGGACTAAGAGAGAAATGGTTGGTAGTCATACTTTCTTCAACATTGCTGGGAACTGTATCAGAAGACACTGGCACGTAAGGTTCATAAATATAAGAGGTGGGCTTGAATTCCTTTGCAGCCGGGTTTAAACGGGGTTTGCTTTCAGAACTGTTTTCTTGACTGTCTAGGCAAGCTGAGTTATCTTTTTCATTTTCATCTTCTGTGACCACTGCATGTTTAATTGAGCCAATAAAATCACCTGATGTAACAAAATGTAGAGATTCCAACATTTCTTCCATAGGGATCTCACAAGTATCTGCAGGAAAGTGTTCATATTCTTCAACTAAGAATGGATAATCAATTTCCAAAGGATCATGTTCTTCCAAGATTTGAGAAAAATAGCTGTAAGAGATCAAAACAATACACAATTTCAAAAGTTACTGGTTACTGCCCAAATACACCAGCCTCCTGTGAAAAAAGGAACTATGTTGCAAAAGCTGCTAAAATTAAACTGTCCCAAGAAATGCTACTCACATCACATACATGTTGCACTTCTCTGTTTAGCAGCCAAATCCACTCATTCTATAGTTGAAGGGGAAATTCAGTGGCTGAAATGCTGTTCCTTAATAACTGCTCACAGAAGGGTGATGATGTCAGCATTAAGGGCAATTCTCACTAACTAAAGTATTCCTACTTCTGTCCCTCAGGTTTTCTAACTCCTATGTAATACCTTTAATCTCATGGAAGCTATGGGAACTGAGGGATGGAAGGAGGAAAAATCCCTCCTGGTAATACATGGCTTCTTCCTTCCACACAATGAAAGAGATTACACAGCAGCTGGAGAAGTCATAGGACAGAAGAGGAAGTACTTAATTACAGAAAATCACGCTTTGGTAACATCGCCATCTTTCGGTAGGAATAAATTATGCAACATGGGTTTATTCTGCAGAAGGAACAACTTTGAGGTATTTCACACACCCCACAACTTATGCCTCCTAAAATACAGAAAAAAATGGGAATAGTTTCAGTGAACAATTACAATATTTCCAACAGCTTGAAACTAAATGTTACTTTCACATCCACTAACGAATTAGCATTTTACATTTTTATTTAAAGAATCTAAAATCTAATTGTGACCCAAACTACTTATGTCTCTCTGGGGATGGAAAACTGTTTGAATCAGTAGAAGTTTTTAATCAGCAGAATGAGGCAGCAGCTTTTTCTCTTACTGCTCTGCCACCTCGTATCTTGTTCCAAAAACATCCCAAGTCCTCCTGAGCACATGGCATGAGGCTACAAAGGACTGCAGGAGAGGACAAAACACAAAAATAATGTCCTCTTTGTTCCAGTGTATCTGAAATGGCAGTGTACATTTCAAATGTCTCAACAGAACGTCACCATCTTTTGCACACACACACACACACACCAAATGACTAAGAGGATTTATTTGAGTTAGACTGCCTGCACATGTTCATGCTAGAACTTACGGAGTAGTTTCTTCTGAAAATATATTGTCTTCTTCGCAAGCTCTTGTACTAATGCCACCAGACACAACTAAAATAGGCTTAAATCAAGAAAAACAGAAAACATGAGATGTATTATCTAATGACAGATATGCAAATAAATATTTAAAACCAATCAATTCAGTAGACTCACATTTAAGTAAGTCTACACGCCCATATTTTTTCAGATGCCCTGTAATACACGAGCTGTGACAAAGTAATTATATGAAACCAGAATAAATATCCTCAGAAAAAGACAAAATGATTTAGTCTTCAAAGTGAAGGAATACAGAAGGGAAAACTACTCAGTTCAAGATTACCATTATAACTGCCTTTTCAATTTTAAAAAGTGCAACCTACATCACATAAACTTATAATAAAAAGTCAATGTTAACAAACAAGCTGAAAAAAATGAGGAAGAATAAAACTCAAGAGGTAAGAGCACGTGAATTTCAAAGCTTAAAAATATGGATACATCAGTTATTCTTCTAATAGCATTATGGCTGAAATCCTATTTTTTACTGCCCAATTTGAAGAGACACTTGTTCAGCTAGTCGAGGCAAAGAGGCAGTCCCAAAACCAGCAAAATCAGGGAGCTGGGCAGGGGACAGATTGTATTTGTCCCCAGTGTGGAAGGGATGGTCACTCTCCAATTGGCCTTCTCAGCCACACTAGACGCTGTTCCAAGACTCAGAGCATGTTACCATAGTCTCTCAAGACTGAAGAATGCCTACAGTGAAGCTGCAATTAGAATAGGCCCACTGAATCAGTGAACTTAAAAGATGACTCACAAAATACCCACTGATTCAATGTGTCTACTCTAGCTGTGACTGACTATGCTAAACACTAGGATTTCAGCTTATGGGTGCTGTTCTCCTAATTTTACAAACAATAAGAAACATGAATATTTCTGTTGCATACAACTTGCTAGTACAAAACATTGAACATTAAAAAAAATCTGCAATACTATTCCTTAAATTCTTGGGGGAGGAGAAGGGGATTATTTAACCTCCAAAGCCAAAAGCTATCTAGCTTGCCAACCCCATTTAAAGAAATGTCTAAAAGTAATTAAAATGACCCAAACCAGCATTCTCTCATAATAATACTTATGGTGCTGAACCAGCTATGGTAGCCCCTTATTGGTGAATTTTAAGCAGCACTGCGAGTAAGACTGTTGATGTCAGCATATTACTTACAAACTCTGACAGATGTTTATTACTTTTGTTACCACTGTTAAGTTTAACCATGTGGACTCATTATAAAAATAAAAACATACCTTTGATTTCTTTGTCTTTTTTCTGATTCTGTTCTTAACTCTGATAGCATTATTCTAGATGGGAAAAAGAAATTAAATTAGCATCAATTACTGCCACCAACTCCTGGGGTAAAAGATATATTTTAGAATGCAGCTTCATTTTACTTGCACTTGTTCTATTCCCATTTGGCACCTTAAACAGCAAAGAAATAAAGTCTGCATCTGTTTGCTTATTTCTGTTCTTAATAACAGAAAATATGTGGAAAAATATGTGGCTGTACAGAACAATTTCAACAAAAGCCAGTGCTAATGTGGTAAACAGGAGAGAAGGCGAGGGGGAGAGGAGAAGAGGGAGAGAGAGAGAATATATGGCACATCCCTGGCAATCATGTAGGATTCACTAGCTGAGTGGTGATAAGTCAGAATTTAGCAGGGTGAAACTGTCTTACAGGGAAATACAAACCATCCCAATATGCATCTAGTAGTGTAACAATGCATATCTGAAACAATGTAATCATAGTAAGAAAAATCATGAACCTCCTTTGTACATTCTAAGTACAGTGGTGCCTCGCATACCGAAAGTATTGCTTAGGTATAAATCATGGAAAAAAGGATAATTACAACATGCACTTAGCTTTGAAATTTACTGTTACTGAGTTCATGTATGAACTCTATATATAACTGTGTAATAAATGTATGTTGCTATAGTGACAGGATTTGAATGTCTGATGAACAGGGAAGGATTATTGTCCATTTCTCTAAAGACTGTTCAAAAGGACACTTACTTAAATTTTAGTTTGGATAATGCCTTTACTGGCTCACTAAAAACTTAAAAACAAGACTAGTATTTAAGTTCTTAAGAAAGCTCAAACTGTTGTAATTTTTAAGTGGTCTAATGAAACAATTACCGGAACTAGAACTTTGAACAGATAGATCACATAGCTTCATTTCCCTCTTATTGCAGCCTATTCATGTTTCAGCTTCAACAGAGATCAACAACAAAAATCAAGCAAACAAAAAACAACCCAGACAAAATCCAAACCAAAACTTACTGAAGTAGCTTCAGTTTCCTCCTTCTTTATTATAGTAAAAGGATGATCTATTTTAAAAATAAATTGTAAGAAAATGTTAAGATAAAAAAAAACAGAAATTGTTCCTAAGCTACTTTAAAGTCTTTTGACTTTATTTTAAAAACTAATTCTCTCATAGTATATACACACACACTTTAAATTATTCTATACAATTAAAAACCCTGTTGCTCAGATAGTTAAAAATACTCTGCCATTTAATTAGGACATTTCTTCAGACAGAGGTATTAACAAAGCTTTTTCTCTCTCTCTTGGGAATTTATTTTGGGAGATCTGTGTTAGAAAAGTTTTTAAATAGCTGACAAACATGCATACATATTAGTGTATGGTGATTTAGCCTGAAAGTAAAAGACTTTTTTCACCCTATTATACTTACCCCAGTTATCAAAATAGTCATCTAAATATTGATGGAAAAATGGGAAATTCTCTCTGTTCTCTTCTATTAGCCATAGCAAACAACGAACTTCCATTGCTGATAGTTCATAAAGGTAATTTAGTATTTCAAACATATCTTCTGATGTGCAGGTGAACATTTTGCCTAATTTAATACCGTACTTCTCATTCCAGAGAACTGTTATTAAATTGAAGTCAACTGGTATCAAGTTAATTCCATATTCAGTAAAAAATACATTTGTTGCTTTTAAACCTGGAAGAAGAAATAAGTCACCTAAAAATGATTTTCACCTATAGGATAAACACATATAACATTCAACCTGTCAAGGAGCACGCAGACATATCCACATTTGTAACTTCCTTTTGGTATATTTCCAATAAAGTTATGGAATATAATAATCATAATACTTTTCAACAAAACAACCAAAGCGGGGTGAGCAATTTCTAGAGGACTGGAGAGTTCACTCCATCCTGTAGACCTGGGTGGATTGTTCCCCTGCACCCCAAAGTATGTTCCACCAGAGGGGAACAAAATGGACAATTATCTTCTCTACGGTGGAGGTCGTCAATCCCTGGTCTGTGGCCTGAGCCAGACCGGGCTGCTGAGACAGACCTCCTGCCCCCCTTGCACACACTCCCGTCCCCACAGCTCCTTTGTGCACGGACGTCCGTGCCAGAGCGAGCACTCTCCAACCCCTTCACGCATGCTCCCAAGCAAAGGGATGGGCATGCAGGTGCTCCTACGCATGCATGAAGGGGTGGGGGAGCGCTCACACCAGCGCTGGTGAGTGGGCAGGCGCTCCCCCACCGCTTCGCGGGGACAGAAGTGTCCCGCCATCCTCAGAGGCTCAGCCAGTCCGCGGTCCCAAAAAGGTTGGGGACCGCTGCTCTAGGGTGAATGTCTGGCAGTTCTATTACAAGCTCCCCTCCCCAGCCTGCTCAGAACAGTAGAGGCCTTCCTTCAAATCAAATAGGCTTAAATCAAGAAGAACAGAAAACATAAGATGACAGACATGTAAAGATTTAAAACCAATCATTAGAATTTAGCAGACTTTCATTTAAACAAGGCTTCTATCCCATATTTTTTCAGATGCCCTGTGACAAATAAGCTATGGCAAAGTAAGATCTGAAAGGATCTGGCCCAGCAGTCTTGCTGAAAAGCCCACCTCGATTTGCTCAGTGTTTCAGTAAGAAACCACTAAACAATCTTAAGTTCCAATACTGAAGAAATGCAATGCATAAAGGCACCCAGTCACAGTTTGCTCATATCATATACAAACCCATTCAAGGATTGGTAGGATCACAAAACTTTTGAAGGAGGAGTCTTAGAGAAATAACTGACAGGGAGGAACAAAAAACTACAGCTATAGGCTGCAGCTCTGCAAAATGAACATTTTGGGGAGCTACAGAGTTCTCTGGTGCTCACTGTTGAGAAACTACGGGTATGAGCAAATGATAAGAGTTAGCACCCTGCAATGGAACTAAACTATTCAATTTAGTTAATCGTACAGCCATAGAAAGCATAGTATTACCTTTATTGTTGAGAAGATTCACCCAGTCATGTAGTTTAGGATCCACTTCTTCAAACTCACTTAAAACATGAATAAAAATTCTTGTCTTTACTCTGTCATTTTTAACAATTAAGAAGTTTATGATCCGGTCCATTACTTCAGTTGATGATCCAGAACTTGAAGAAAACAGTGCACAGTCCTCTTCACTCAGAACCCACCATGAAAGGAGTTCATTAAGAAGTTTGAAAGCATCACGTACACCTGTTAATATGTTTGAAGCATGCTGTACTATAAGCTGCAAAACTGGATCCGAGGGAAAACAATTTTGAACTCTTCCTAAGATAGAGCAAATACAGTGACAGTCAGGATCTATAAACACAGTAAAATGCATACAAAGAAATTCAAGGACATTCATAAATGTTCATATTAACATACCTTTATGACTATCATCTTTTGCTGGACAGTATTCTCTGTAATATGTTTCTCCTTCTGCTAACTTAACTTCATCTTGCTTCATAAATCTCTTTAATTTTCTTTCTTGTTTTCTTTCTAGTTTCCTGAAACTGATTCAAACAGCCAGCAATGAATCTTTCCGAGAAACGTTCAAATAAGTGCAGCAGGTTATACATCATCCCACTTGAACTTAAAAGATAAAGGATACACGTACTGATCCATCATGAAGATTTAATTCAGTGACAATGTGATGTACCCCTGCAACGTTCAACCAGAGGGCCATCCAATTTGGTTGTCAAGTATATTAAAAAAAAACTTCAGTTTTTCATTAATGGATACCAAAGGACCTGAACTTCTAGTGTGCAAAGAAACATGCTGTTTAGAGACCAAGGCAGAGTTCTGTTTGATTTCTCAATTGCACAAATAGTAGTACATGTATCACAATGGGCTACTAAACAAGACAATCTGCACCAGTTCTTTGCACAACTTTCATTGTTAATATGCATTTGTTATCAAGAAAAAGAAACAGACACTGCCTTAAGACCGTGCAGCAAGTGGAGAGTGCTAGATTTCTCCTCTTGCACAGTCTGGAGCTAGGCTTGCACTCACACTACAGACCTCATTAACATGGTATTGATGGATACTGGACCATATATTTGACCTTTTACACTATCAATTGATCATGCGATGAGATGTACAAAATTTTAAATAGATTAAGAAATGGGATCATCGTAAGTATTAACGTCAAACTTTACAATACATACTCCACATGAAGCAAGCATGATTATGTTATTCTTATAAAGAATTGCTTTGACTATATTCAACAGAATTTTTGCTTGCTTTTATGAGATTAGCTTGCAGTATTTGGAAATCATTTAAAGAGCTATAAGTTATACAAAAACATTAATTTATACTGATTTTAATTTATAATCATCATTGTCATTAGAACCTCAAAGCTGGAAGGAACCCTATGTATTATCAAGTCCAGCCTCGGCCAAGGAAGTACACTGGGCAATTGAACTCCCAGCCTCTACCTAAACCACTGATTTATCCAGGAGTTCTAGCTAGGAGACCAATTCTTAAGTGAAAGATATCTGTGTTCTGTGCAATCAAGTCAGAATTACAGTGACCCTAATAGGCCTTCCAAGGTAAGTGAGTTATTTAAAGAGTGGTTTTACCAGTTCTACTTCCCCAGTGAGTTTTAGTCTGTCATTCTATCCACTATACCACACTGAGAATCCTTTGTGAAAGACATACATAGGCCAAAATCCTATTGAGTTTTTATAGTGGCGAAGTGCAGGTGGCATAAATCTTACTGTTGAACTGCTGCTAGAATTTAGCATTGTTAGTTGCTCTTGCCTGCTAAATCATGCAACTCAGCATGAAACAACAAATGGCTACACAGCTTCTTAACTTGCAGCAATTTGGCAATGAGATGTATATCAATTGCATTATGCTGGAAGGCATACATAAACAGCCAAACAAAATTCTCATTAAACCTTAAAAATGTTATTTATCCATCAACATAATGCTGGGAAGAGGTACTGCTTTGCTATTACTTCAAATGGGAGAGACAGTGGTTCCGTTTCCTTTGCACATGTCACTGAAACCTGAATGGCATATACTCAGGAGAACAAAGCCAGGTCACTTTATGAACAGCACCCACAAGCTTTCCATTCTAGAAAATTGCAGAGTGAGAACATTTTTGTATACTATAATTCTACTACCAGGAATTAGAAAACTTACCTTGAACATTTTTGTTTAACAATAGGCTTTGGAAGATTCTTTGTTTTTATTTTATGCTCAAACTAGAAAGGGGAAAAGGAAAGCAGTAGCTTCAAATATGTACTTTATTTAATAGCATTTGTTCAGTACTGTATTATAAAATGTGAGACAAAGTTGTGCCATTGCACACTAGAATTGATACTCTATCAGAACATACAGAAAATATCTCCAATTTAACAACAAAACACAGAAAAGCTTTATCATTTAATCTACAAAGAGGATGTGTTTCTCCCCTTCTGAATCTATGCTTAAAGCTAGAGTGTTCCGCCCCCCCTCATTATCATATGCTAATATATTTCAAAAATTTTCTGAGAAACTCCTCTTGCCAATTTGCTCTGCAGGATTACAAAACAGAATTTTCAGCAGCAGCAGCCTGTTTTATTAACTCCCTTCTCCCAAGGAAAAGCTGCTCTAGGATTCAGTGCCAGAGGTTGATGCAGATTAAACTTTTGAGGCTCTCCTAATTGTTGTTAAAATGTCAAGATTCAAGGTCTTGAATTCCCTCCCATCAACTGCTTAGCTCTTCGAAATTGATGCCGCCTCTATCTTAATGTCTGCTTAAAACTTATACTGGCACCAAAATTTAATTGCGATTCTGAGAGAAAGAATTTACCAGAAAGAAACTGGGAGTAGGAGGGTGCAAATTTCCTTACTCTTCACTGCTTACTTTGACTGATACTACATTCGCAATAACTGCACTTCAAAAAGCTTTAAACTATTGGCAGTATCTTGTTTGATCTACTGTGCGTGGAACAGTAACTGTACAAAACAATGTAACCAACTTACCTGAGTATTAATTGCATGATCGATCATGCAACTATTACATGACCATGTACACTGTATACACAACCAAAATGGAGAAACCTACCTGTGTGATCACCATTTTGCACACTGTAAATCAAACAGAATGCTAGTCTATGCCTGAAATGTGAGCACAACCTTATGTGTACAAGTGAAATCTGTTTATTTTCAGAAGAAACAAAACAGGACATGGGAGTGCATTCTACTGAATTTAATGAGATTTAATTGTGGGTTGACAGATGCAAGTTGGCACTGGCAGTGACTATGTACTGCAAATTTTCTGTTTTGTTTTATACTATGAAACAGACATTACGGTTCCATATGAATACGAACTGCCTCTTTTAAGAAGATTAACAACATTTAAATGCATAGATACACCAGAAGGATTTCTCACTCAAAGGCTGGCATTCCATTGGGCTTCCACTACACAGAAAGTCCCTTCATCATAGTAGCACAGGATGGTGGACACATGCAAGTAGTGATCTCAATGAGGAAAACAAATCCCCCACTTGCACAATGACAATGCTTGCACAAATGGTATGATACCCAATTACTTGACTGGCAGGGTTTTCTGCTCAGGAGATACTTAATCAGAAAAACAAATGGAAAAATCTTAAATAACAGGATCTAGCTGAAAATTATCAATGTGAAATGCTTACCTCACATTTCACTAAACCAGAAGAGTGGAAGACAACAATTTTAGAAATAAGACCTTTACAATCTGGAGTGAAACACAATTCTTGAAGAATATCCTGCAGATATCAAAAGAAAATTAGCCTGGGGGAAGGAGTACACTGCACAAACTGCAGAACACATTTATTTATTATTTTAAAAAACTGAATTTAAGCATTATATAAATGGTGATACAACACGTACATATTATCTTTTGAATGCTTTCCCTTGCAGGACCTAAGGCAGCCTACAATAGGTATTTGAATACAGATAACAGCTAAAAAAAGAACCAGTGTTAAAATGTCATTAGATAAATTACCGCATTAAAAACAAACGCTAAATCAAAATGAAATAAAGGCCATTTAAAAATAAATTATTTTCCTTTAAAGTTTTTATTATTGTGTTTACTACAGCTATAATCTAAACTGCATCAGTGATATATAATAACTAGATTGGTTTCAGATTAAGTTAATAGAACTTAGGTCCAACTGAAATTAGTGGGACAACTGATAAGTCAGTCTTATATATGTCAACCTAGATGTAAGTCTAATCAAGTTCAGCTGGACTTACTCTGAAGTAAATGTACATATGACTGTGGCTTTCATTTCCATTGATATCAATGGCATATATTTTCAACTAACTCCAGTCCATTAGTTTTACTTTATTAAGCTCAATATAACGATCTTTTTCCCTTTTCATTTCTGGGCTGGAAACTAAAAACGTCTTTATCTTTCTCATAAAAACCAGCAATCATGCTGAACTTATTTTAAGCTAATAATAACGTGGACAGAAATACACTGGGAACAGTTGTCTACTAGAATATCTTTAGAAATGACTGAAGAACAAAAAAAAGTAGGCAGTGGTCATGCTGGAATTTCATGATAATCCATCAACCTGGATTTAACAAACCAGTCAGGATTTGTAAGCCAATCCTTAAAGTTGCTTTAGGAAAACTGGCTAGCATAGATTTATATAACTGTAATACCTGGTTCAGATAAAATACAAAATCATGCCATTTTATTTTGTTTACTGACACAAAGTGAAAAACAATAAACTGTTAATTTAAAGCAGTTTCTTAAAGGCTTAACAGGAATCCCAACACAGCCAGCATCTCCTCTAGAGTCTGATAGAATGTAGAAACTGAGAGATGAATTAAGTATTTATTTGTTTACTCAATTATGAAGTGCAGAATTTTAAAGGTATTACTTCAACAGTCACAGATAACTACTTGTGATTACTCAGTGCAATCAATCGTTTAAATGCAAAGACTTGTTGACTTTAAATTTCAATATCAAAGTGCTAGGGGAAATACACATTTTTAGAACAACCAACTTGAGCAAGTAAATTTAGGATAGCCAATATTCATTAATTTCAGACTGAATATACAAATCTTGCAGCCACCAGGTCAGGAAAGAACAACAAATTGCTCCCCTGAAGTCAAATGAATATTGGTAGTTTGGCTTCCTGTTACATTCCTTGAATTGCTCTTCCAATACTAGATGAAAACTATGCTTGTAGTTTGGATCCCTGTCACAGTCTTTGAGTAGATGTGGCCTGTGTGAATCAGAATTACTATTAGTTTTATTTATATGCCACATTTCTCCCAACAAGGGACCCAAAGTGGCTCTGTGGTGCTAGCACAGTAAGAAAAAAGACATTCAAAAGTAATCCCAGATATCTCTTTTTATGAAGCACTCTCAGTCCCAGTTTTGGGGCAATAAGGACAAATAAATCATGTAAGATAACATAGTGCAACACAGTCCCAGCAACACACTACTCAAAGGTGTTTCATTCTTTCACACTCTTCACTACAAGGCTGTGAAATGTCATTCAGTGCAACCGTTATACAGAAATGAGGCTCTAGCCATTGGGCATTACCTTGTCATTTTTATCACTGTATCTTATTGCTTTCAGCTTCTTCCAACAACTCACATGAAACTCCACTATACACTGTTCACAGCAGGCAATTCTTATAAAACCCTGAAATTTGGAAGACCACAATTTTGAACACTTTGACAACACTGTAATATTCAAGCATGTTTTGCACAAGGTTTTATGAATAAATTCTGTATGTATTTTTTAAACCATGTTTTCTAACACTATTCAACATCCATCAATACTTACCTTGAAATCTGGGTCATTAAAATATATATTGATTTTTGGTGCTTGACACTGTTGGTAACGACAAACTGCATCTGGATTTGGAGGAAACTTGCATTGTTCAATACAATCTTCCAGTATAATCTGTAAACAAGAAAAGTCGGCATTAGATATGGTTACTTCTTCACTGGGCTTTTAATGAAGTTCCCCTCCACTTTCTAATTAGAAAGAACAAGTACTAGACTTAAAGGGGGGGGGACCTCTTGAGTTTTGGGTACGTTCTGGCTGATGAAATTTCGATGAATTGAGAGTTAGCAATAGGCTTAGAGCTAAAGTTTGAATTAAATTGACATGTCTTTGATTTTCTGAAAACATTAAGAATTCCTATTCCCATCCCATCCCCTATAGGGCCAAGCTGTTTACAAGAGTATGTCACTTCTGCTTCTCCAGGAAGGAAAACCCAATGGCAAAACAGAACAGATTCATCAGGGCAATGTCTGTTCTAACAGTTTTCTGTCTGTTAAAAAAAGCACAGAAGCGTACAGAAATTTGGAGACACTGTTTACAGTTTTCTAGATATCTGCATACAGATGCCTTCAATGACCAAGAATGCAACATCTTCCACTTTTCTGATTTTCTCCTTGATAGAGTCATGATGAAGCAAATGTTTATTATGGTCAGATGCCATCAAAGGGGACCTATGATCTTTTTAAAAATTATTAATTGCAGGACTGCATTCTTTCTTACTTGTAACTTCTCTGTCCTTGTCTCTTCAATAACAATTGAGGTTGTAGGCCATGTCAACACACCAGGCACAATCTTATGACTGACCATGATTTTTGACTTCATGAAGTGATCCAGAGCATCTGAAAACCTACAATGTATAGAAAATTGAAGTCACATTTTGCATTCTGTTTCTTCAAATGTCCCTACTGCATTTTATATTTTGAAATACAAAACAAAAATATGTCATCCAACTTTCCCCACCATCCTCACAAAAGACAACAGGAAAAGTGAAAGCATGACCTTCTGGCAGGAAGAAAATAAAGTCTAGTCTAGGCTTCCTTTCAAAGCAAGGAGTTACCAGAGTCTACTCCCTTCTCACTCTACACTGTGCACTAACAACAAGAACTTCCAACTACTACTGCTCTCATTTTTTCATCCTGTTTCATCAGCATATCCTCCTTCCTATTTCACTGTTGGTGGTAGATAGTATCCCTTGGGGTCTAGTGGGCAGACTATGCCAGGCAGCTGCTACAGGTCCACAGAAGGATAAGAGCACACTCATTCATATGCACAAAATGTACCTACTAAAAACAAGTAGGAGACAGAAAGATCCAGTGCAGTAAGCTGAATGCACTAATGGGATAGGAAAGTGGGTTAAAGTAAGGGAAAATAACATCCCCTGCTGCTTGAATCGTATGCCATGAACGCAACTCTTCTTGCAAGAGCTAATACATACAGAAGGCAGCTTTGTACCAAATGTTCCACCATTAAGAGTACAATATGTGAATCAGCTTCAAGTCAGCAGAAATTACATTAGCTAGCCAATCTCCTTCCAGATTAAGTAGAGGCCGCTGATATATTTCTAAATTTCTTACTGAGCATCTTATTGTTTAATCCCAATTATACATATGTGAATTTACAAAATAACAAAAATAAACACCCTAGCGTAAAGCGATGATGGACAATCAACCAGAGAAATGAGCTTTTTGCATTTCATCTTGTGAGTTCAGACACATGAAAATGGTTTACAGTGGTGCCTTGCTTAACGATGTTAATTGTTTCCCAAAAAAACATCGCTATGGGAAAACATCGCTAAGCGAAACACTATTTCCCATAGGAATGCATTGAAAACTGGATAATCTGTTCCAATGCGAACGGATTACCGTCCTTAAGCGAAAATCGCCATAGGAAACATCGCTAAGCGAAACAATGTTTCCCCCATTGGAATGCATTGAAGCCTATTCAATCCATTTCAATGGTTTTGACAGGTCCGTTTTCGCTATTTTTAAAGTGTCTTAAAATGTTCAAAAACTGTTTTAAATGCTTGGGATCGTTAGTGCACCTTGTAAAACCTTTGCAAACTTAATTTGACTTTGTTCTGACTCTTCGTTAATTTTTGGTGAATTCCCCCCCCATTGGAATGCATTGAACTGTAGGTTTGACCTAAACTGTCATCGCTCAGCAAGGCAAGATCCCAAACATCGCTCTGCGAAATTTCCCCATAGGGAACATCGCTAAACGGAGCGCAAAATCGCTCCAAAAACCTCTTCGCTAAGCGAATACATCGTTAAATGAGGCAATCGCTAAGCGAGGCACCACTGTATCTTCCTTCAAACCTATTTCACACTGGCCTGCCAAAACTCCCCCCCCCATGCTGTCACAATAAATATGAGACACCACAGAAATTCAGCAAACACAAAGTGAATGTTTAAACAGAATATTTAAGAGATCAATTTCTTAAAGAAAATTTACTGGCTGAAGAAATGAAAATTGTTCTCAGAGGAAATATCTTACTCACCAATTCTGTCTCAGATATACTTTTCCAATTCCATAGTGTGCTAAGCAATCAAATCTCACTTCCTGATACTGCTCAATTATATTATTAAAATAGTTTTTGGCTTTGGTTAGTTCCTTTGGGTGGGTGGGGGGAAGCAAAACATTTGAAAATCACTACAAATAAATGCACAACATGCACACACACCCCATCAAAAGGTAAACTGTTTAGGATAAATATTAGAGATGGGGGTATTCGTAGACGAATACGAATTATCTCCCCGCAGGTGGAAATAACGAGGGACCGGCCCCATGGAGCTGGACCGTCCACTCACTGTTCGGCTGCTGCCGCAGGCACAGTGGTGTCTTCCTATTGTGCTGTGCTCCGTAATGAATTAGCCATTCCTGGCTGGAGGCAGGATGACAAGCCGCTGTGCCAGGTTGCACAGTGGCTAATCCACTCTGCCAGGTTGCACAGTGGCTAATCCATTGTGGAGCACAGTACAAAATGAATCACCACTGTGCGTGGCAGCAGCTGAACAACTATGTCCACCTGCGGGGAGATATTTTTATTCATCTATGAATACCCCCATCTCTAATAAATATATGTTCACAATGACTGATGCATAAATGAAGGAATTGCAGCACGTGCGAGAGACCTCAAAGATGGGGGAGGAGGGCAGCTATTAGATCCCCCCCTACTTTTGACCCAGCTGCTCCTGTTCAAGAGACAAGCTGCTGCTTAAGTTCAAAAACAGCTTGTTAAAATACAGTGTGGCAAAAACAGTAGTTTTAATGATGAGAGCTGTTCTGTTGCATGCACAAACTCCTTGTTCAGCTCTTCTTGTATGACAACTGGACATGGTCTAGAGCAGTGATGGCAAACCTTTTTGAGCCAAAGTGCCCAAACTACAATACAAAAACAACTTATTTATTTCAAAGTGCCAACAGTGCAATAAAATCTGAACACTGAGGCACTATCACTATCTTTTAGGCAAAAATGATGAAAGTGAGGTTCTCCTACTTGGGCACATCTTGAAAAGACAGGATTCTCTGGAAAAGACATTAATGCTCGGAAAGGTGGAAGGCAGCAGGGAAAGAGAAAGACCAGATATGAAATAGACCAACTCCCTAAAGAAAAACACAGGCTTGAGTCTACAAGAGCTGAGTAAGGCAGTTGAGGACAGGTCATTTTGGAGATCACTCATTCATAGGATCACCATAAGTCAGAGGCAACCTGGGATTGAAGAGGGTGGGCTTCAGAACTTGTGCCTCCCCCCCGCCTCTCCTTCCTTCTTTACTCTGTAGTAGGGTGCTCCCCTTTTCTGGTCAGACAGAGGGATCGATCACAGAGGAGGATGAAGAACTGGCAACCCCTCCCTGCTTCTCTCTGCCTCTTTCCTCTCCCCAGGGAGAAGGATGGTTACAAATGCTTGGTCTTCGGAGAAGTTAGAATTCTCCTCGGAACTGGAGACATGATGCCTCAAGCTCTTCTGGAACTACTCCGTCTCATGTCTGCCATGGAGGAAAACGGGAAGGGGTGCATAGAGCAAAGAAAGGGCCCCTCAAATCAGAGTAAGGCGACCTCCTGAAACGGCTCACTAGCCAGGCTAGATCCCGAGTCTCTAGCTGAAGCCTGGAATGTGTACTCCCCTCCTGGTTGTGAAGCTAATGTAGTGGGTGTATCACGAAGATTTCAGCTTGTCTCAGGTGTGGCTGGCCAGGGGCTTTCAGTTGCTAGAAATCTGTTGCTGTTTTCCACCTCCCGGGCTCTGCTCACCCAGCTTGGTCCTTCTTGGATCCTTTCTGCCCTTAGTTGCTCATGCATAAACAAAACAGTGGCTGTTGTTTCCTCACTCTCCCAATTCGTCAGAGGGAAGCAAGCAGCTGAGGTGGGAAATGAGCCAAGAGAAAAAGGGCCATGGCTGAAAGGGAAAGGTGGGGACTAATGCAACTCACACACACAATGGAATGCAGAGGATCCAGCAGTGGGGGAGAAACCGAGTCGGGGTTGGTGCTGCCACGAGACTAGGTTAGCCCCTAGCCTTAAGGCACGCATGCCCACAGAGAGGGCCATGAGTGCCAGCTGTGGCACGCGTGCCATAGGTTCGCCATTACTGGTCTAGAGCAGGGGGCCATATGGCCACTTGGGAGGCCCTGGCACATTTGAAGGAGGCCATAGACTGGAGACAATTTTTCACACACCGCCTTATATAGTTCTGATTCAGCTTGTATTTCTTTCATAATAGTTGTCATTATGTGCCATCAACTTGGAACTCAATTATAGAGACTCTAACAGGGTTTTCAACGTAAGTGATATATTTAAGGAGTGGCTTTACCAGTTCTACATCCCCAGTGATTTTCCATGGTTGAGTGAGAATTTAACACAGGCCTTCTGAGTCCTAGCCTGTCGCTAGGTATCACACTGGGCATAATCTATGACAATAACATGGTTTAAATTGCTACCATGCTATAGGCTTCTCATTCTCATTACCTTCTTTACTAAACATATAGATACAAACTAGTCACAATAGTCCCCTGCAGATTCCTGGAACAATTTCTTCATAATTGTTTAACATTATTAATTAAAAATAAATTTATAAATTAGAAATGCAAAATATCAGCATTTTGTATTTGTTGAAGGATCAGGGCATTCCCCCCCCCCCCCAAGCATGAACAGGGTTGTGGAATACGTATAAATTGTTGCTTCCAGGCTGGACTACAATTACATCATTCCCATGCGTAATGATCAATAGGGTAAATTATTTTGAAATAACCAACACTATAGTCTCAGGACTCCAAGAGCCTGCAGACAAAGAAACTTAGAAAAACCACTGCTTCTCTTCCACTGTGTATAGCAACAGAAATAAATTTGCAGTTGGAATAATTGCTCACATCAAAAAACATGAAAAAGACAGACAGTACAATATATTAGCATGTGGGCTGTGGAATTTCAACTTCATGGTTTTTAAAACTGTTACAGATTAAATAGAACAAAAAGCTGAAATCAAGCATGGAGACTCTGCATTCTACGGCTTAGCAGGCAAAAAGTTATCATCACCTACAGTAGGAACTATCTGAGCCATAAGAATCTCCTACCTGGACTAACATCTGAATAGACTATCAAATATGAAATGGGGTGGAGTCTTACCGCAGGCTGTCCTATGCCAAGAAGAGCAATAGCATATCCATAGGTGATTACAACGTAATCAATGATTGCAAGATTCACTTGCTGCAACAAATTGGAAAAATATTAAAAACATTTGTTTGTCCTTGAACAATATATGTTCAAGCAGATAACATAACACACCATAACAGCTGGAACAATATTAGCTATTACAATTCATATTTAATTACTGCTGCGTTGCCTTTGTGGGTTAAATCAGCACTCACAAAATGGCTTATAAGCCTTTAAAAATAAAATAGAATTAAAAACAGAGAGTCATAGTCTCAGCATAAAACAACTGTCAAAAAGTCAAGATAAAATAACAGTAGCAGATTAAAATCATAAAAATACAGGGAAACGTCAATCAATTAGCTAAAGGTGGAGAAAAACAACCAGGGCTTTAAACCTCACGTAAAAACAAGAAGGAAGTGAGGCACACCTGCCACACAAGGGAGTTCCAAAAGGATTGGGCCACCACTGAGAAGGCCCCACGTCTTGTGCCTGCCAGCTGACGGACTCTTCTGACAAGGACATGATTAGGGCCTTCTATAGATGTGGACAGTATCATCGAAGCTACCAACATGAATTTGACCAAACTCCGGGAGGCAGTGGAAGACAGAAGGGTCTGGAGTGCTCTGGTCCATGGGGTCATGAAGAGTTGGACACGACTTAGTCACTATTAACAACAACATAGACATAGAACTGGAACCAACATGGTTCCAAGCCGTTTAAGACTTTGATGGCAATAACTACCGTGTTTCCTCAAAAATAAGACAGGGTGTTATATTAATTTTTGCTCCAAAAATGCATTAGGGCTTATTTTCAGGGGATGTTTATTTTACAGTCATGTCATCTTCTTCTGGTTGCTGCACAATGGTGGAGGCCGGGGTTTCACTTAACTGGGGCTTATTTTTGGGGTAGGGCTTACATTGCGAGCATCCTGAAAAATCATACTAGGGCTTATTTTCAGCTTAGGTCTTATTTTCCGGGAAACAGGGTAGGAATCCAGACTGGGAGCACAATGGCAAAGCAGTTCAGACAGTATGAATCAAAGTTACATGTTCTTTTTACACAACCCCGCAAGAAACTAAATGGCAGTATTCTGGACCATTCAAAATTTCTGAATAATTTTCAAAGGTAGTAGTTTAATCTGGAGATAAAAAGGGAATAAGGCCTGCTTTCTCCCGAAAAGAATTATGTGGCAAATCAGCCAAACCTGAGACAGCGGCAGACATTAACTGCACCTTCACTGGTAAGTCCTGAGGACAGCAGAACTCTTTATGTTGAACATCTTGCTCTTGAGGGAAAAGTGACCCTGTACAGCAACAGTCCCATCTCTTTATTCAGATCAACAGATTTCTGCATCCAGAGTACCTCCACATTTATCTAGACTGAGTCGCTGTTTGTCCTTAATAATTTCCAAGCTCTATTCTGTTTAAGAGTTCTGCAGCCTCCCTAAGGCTAGCAAGTAAAAAGTGTCATCTATGTACTCATGGCACTTCAGTCTTAACACCCAGATGACTTCTCCCTAAAGTTTCATCTGGACGTTGGAAATTTAGGAAGAAGAATGGCCATAGGACTGCTGAAACAAGCCATAGGATGCAGAAGTCCTTCAGTGTCACTTTCCGGGCTCACCAATACAGAAGGGACCAGAGAAACCTGAATGCTATGCCCTCTGGTTCCACTAAGGCAACTTAGAAGGGCAGGATGGTTAATAGTAACAACAGTCACTGAGCTATCCAGAAAAATTAACATGGTTGAGTCCATTCTCAATCAAAAGACATCCATCAGGAAGACCAAAGTTCTTTCTATCCCAAAACTTTACATTACATCTGCTCACACGTATCCGATTTAAATATTGTGCTTTTAATTATGTAAGCCACCTTGGGTGCAATAAAAATACTCTAAATAAATAAATAACGCAAGGTTATTTTGTTAACTGATTGATTATCTCAAGTCTTTAAAAGGTCTAAATGTTTTATTTTTATTTTAACTTTACTTTAATGGTAGCAATAAAAAATTATTTTCTTACGTATATAAAATAGACTCAGTCTGGAACAATATTCTAGAGACTTCATCCACTGAAGCACCATACTACTAATGCAATGTAATGCTTATCAATTACCTGTAGCTGGGATGGATCTAAAATGTTTAATAAAAATGCAAAGGATTTTTCAGCACTGTGAAAACATTGATCTGTCAAAGATGTGCATCCACTTTGTATATGAGTCTTCAATATTTCCAGTGAGGGCACCATATCTACCTGAAAACCAAGATGTAACAAATCAAGTGTTATCTCCAATATACAGGTGCCTTATGGGAAAAAAGTTGGCATATAAATAAAATAAAATATGTATTTACACCACTGGAAGCAACCTGGTATCCTCCAAGGGTTTCAGGCTACAACTGCTATCACACTCAGCCAGGGCAACCAATGTCAGAGATTATGGCAGAGAGCACTAGGTTGCCCACCTTTGCTTTACAGACTCATAAAAATACAAATGCTGTCCTCTGAAGATGCCAGCCACAGAGACTGGCGAAACGTTAGGAAGAACAACCTTCAGAACACGGCCAAAGAGCCCGAAAAGCCCAGAACAACCACAAATACATACTGCTTGAATTTAATGGCAAAATTCCTGTTGCCTATAACCAGGCTGGTGAGAGCACTTTCATGGTAGAGAAACACAGCATTTCAACTCAGTATTCTCCAAGTCCTATTAAAATAGCCCTGACTTTTTCTTTACACAGTCTAGAGCCTAGGCAGAAAAAAATTAGCAAAATTGATTGGCACTTTCATAGTTATCAGTTTTCACAACTTGGACTGCAGACTGGGCAGTATTAGGCACTTCTATTCCTGCCACACCCACCAGGACCTGAAAAGAGACTTTCTAAGATACTGTCTGAGTGTTGCTATTCAACAGAGGGAGTTGCTTCAGGTGCTCTGCATATCTTTAATCAACTGTATCTTTAAGGTCTCCTAGGACCTTCAACACACTTAATATATTCAGATGTTTGCTTCAGCAGACTCAATATATTCACAGGTTTGCAGATTTTTGTTACTTACACAATGAAAAAAGATTACTGCCACAGATTCTCTTACCTGTTGCATAGTACCACAAGGATTATTTTGTTCCTCTAGACCTTTCTGAGAATCATTTTTGAAATACAACTGGTTTCTGCAAATAAAAATAACATGGTGACTTTTTTTCAAACAGATTGGATATACACATATCTCATACCCTAAATATACATGGAAATATACATCCATGCACAATTTGCTGTGCTTTTAAGCATGTATTTTATCATGACATTCCTCACGTCGTTCCTGACCTTTTAAATAGCAGTTGGATAGGTTTTTCTCACCACAACAAATGTAACACTGCCATGTAGCAAGCTCTAACCTGCTTCTAAGAGCTGCAAAAGTGGACAAAAACAGCCTTCACATTGGGGTGGAAATCCCAACCCTTCCCCACCTTCAAGCTTTGGCACGGCTGGCCACTGTGTTTCCAGAACACTGAGTACCTCAGCAGCACAGCACCAGGGACAACTACACTTTCAAGTAAGCTGTTATTAGGGAAGAAAACAAAAATTGTCTTTGGCCTCACATGTCTACCATACATCAGTGTCCTGTCAAACCTAATGCTTAGCTTAGTAACTCAGCCAGTGAATAAGAGCGGTTCCTTTTGACTGAGAGTTAAACAACCTGGTCCCACCCAGCAAAGGAATGTAGAAGCTGTCTCACTCCTTAGATCTAAAACACACACACAAACACACTCATGTACTTGTGTAACATTAGCCAGAACATTTAGCCTTTATGCAATGTGCTCGGACTATTTATAGTTGAACAACTCCTACTTGAAAGCTTGATTTCATTAAAAAAAACTGGTCCAACAACAAGGTCAAAACGAATTTTTGTCATAGTTTAATGAAAAACTTTCGAATCCTTTACACAACCACAGGCAATTCAAATATGTTTACCTTATTTTTTCAGAATCATCCACTCTATTCCTTGGTTTCCTTGGATTTTCATTCAGCCCTGACATGAGGAAAAATTACTGTGAATGCAGCTACTTTGTTATTACTATCAAAAAAAAAAACCAAAAATAATTAAACATCTAAAGTCTACATTCTCCTGATTAATAAAAAGAAGACTTAGCAAAAAGCTTTTTTGCAATAGCTACTATGAATCCTCCATTTCTCTACAAACTAATTTGTTCACCAAGGAACATTATTTGTTCATCATAGAAGCACATCACAACTCACAATACTTAATTCACAATACACAAAATAGTTGTTGACTGTCATATAATTTAGAGCTCTAAATTTGCACCTTTCTAGATCTCTTCAGTGAACCATTAGAGAGCCCTAATTCATTACTACCTTTTCTGTTTGACCATCATTATATTTAATGACACTCTAACTATTTTAAGGAGGCTTTTATTATGCCCCCCAATGAAGAATTACTTCAGAAAAATTTAAGACAGTATATTTTTGTTTCTACTATGACTCAAACAAACAAACAAACAAAAAAGTCAAACAGGAGTAGCACTGTAACTGCATTTTTCACAGTTTGATACTGGTTATCATTATGGCAAATGTGCATATGGCTCAGCTACTTTGTTATTACTATCAAAAAAAAAAACTCCGTTTAGGGATGAAATCACTTTGCGATGGACTTTTTGCCATCGCAAGAGTGATCGCTTTGCGATGGCCCTTATGGGGAAAATTCGCTTTGCGATGATCGCGGGGGAGCGCTCCCCCATGATCATCGCAAAGGCCCGCCCGTCAGCTGTTCCAAAAAGCGAGCCCTTGGGCTGCTCCCGGAGAAGCGCTTCTCTGGGAGCAGCCCGAAGGCCTGCCCGTCAGCTGTGGCTTTTGGCTGCTCCTGGAGAAGCACTTCTCCAGGAGCAGCCCGAAGGCCCACCCATCAGCTGTGGCTCTGGGAGCAGCCCTCCCCCGCGGTCCTCGCAAAGCCCTACCCGGCATTTTCCCCCAGCTGAGCGGCGGGAGCTTCCGAAGCCACCGCCGCTCAGCTGGGCGAAAATGCGAACGGTGGCTTCGGAAGGACCACGCTTTTGGCTGCTCCTGGAGAAGCACTTCTCCAGGAGCAGCCCGAAGGCCCACCCATCAGCTGTGGCTCTGGGAGCAGCCCTCCCCCGCGGTCCTCGCAAAGCCCTACCCGGCATTTTCCCCCAGCTGAGCGGCGGGAGCTTCCGAAGCCACCGCCGCTCAGCTGGGCGAAAATGCCAGCGGTGGCTTCGGAAGGACCACGGGGGGCCTCCCAAAGGCCCCATTTTTGCACAGCTGATCGGCGGTTCCAAAATGGCCGCCCGCTGTGTTGCTTCGCTTACCAAGGCAGCGAAAATGGCCACCCCTATGGAGGATCTTTGCATAACAGTGAGTTTTCCCCCCATAGGAACGCATTAAACAGGGTTTAATGCGTTCCTATGGTTTTTTTTGCCCCGTATAGCGACGAATCCGGATAGCGAAGATTTATCCGGAACGGATTATCGTCACTATGCGGGGCACCACTGTACTTGGCAATTGCCTTTTGAAAGGCTGTTCTCTAATTTGTCTTTATGTAAATACTATGTAGTGAAAAAATGTCATTTCATGAATGTGTTCTTAAAAGAGAACAAAAAGTCAGGAGAAGCTCTTGGAAAAGCCCTTCCAGCATTTATTTATTTTTTAAAAAAAATTAATTTGAATGTATCATGTAAAATAATGGAAACCACATTAGTAGACACACAACATCAGCTATTGTTTTTTTAATATCCTCAGACCAACAGGCCACATGCTAGTTTATCTTAATAGCACAAGATCAGTCTAATACACAGTATCTTTATAATACTTTGAAATGCTCTCAGTACAACAACACAGGGCCCAGCTGTTTTATTAACTTGCCTAGGTGAGAATCCAAAGGCCGATCTTTCTTTTCTTTGGTTCCTGTATTGCCAGTCACCTGTTAAAAGATCAAATGTGAACTCCTCTGCCACTGTGCCAGAAATCTACTACACATAAACAGAACATATTATCCAAACATTATAAGCATTAAAGTTGAACTACCCTCTTTCCCCAAAAATAAGACCTAACTTGAAAATAAGTCCTAGTACGATTTTTCAGGATTTGTAATATAAGCCCTACCCCCAAAATAAGCCCCGGTAAAGTGAAACCCCGCCCTTCACCATTGTGCACCAACCAGAAGATGACATGACTGCATTTGAATAAACGTAGATTGTCATACATGAAAAAAATAAAACATTCCCTGAAAATAAGCCCTAATGAGTTTTCTGGAGCAAAAAGTAATATAAGATCCTGTCTTATTTTCGGGGAAACATGGTATCTAGTTTGTTAAATCCTGTTACCACTCTAGCTACATTAGCTAAACTAAATGTACAATTTAACGAAAAACAAATCCTTCATGCAAACATCTTTCATTCTATCCTCATTTCTACATTTATTACAAGGATCTATGCAATAATTTGTATATATTATTTGCATGATAGTCCATCCAATTAACAAGTCTCTCAATCAGCCAATTCTGTACACAGCACATTGGCGAACAAAGAAAGTTTCCAAACTATTCTTAGATTTATATCCAGCCAGCATGGACAGGGCCAGCTACCTGAAGCCTAACTTAATTATTTAATACCTGTTTCTTGTTGTGCTTGCAGAACATTCCTCTCATTGTAATGGAAAGCTGCTATGATTTCACTTTGCTCATACTCGCTCTGCTTTCAGTTGAAATGCTCCTTTCTAGCTTCATGTTTCTCTGTATGATTCACTCTTTTCTCAACCTACCCTGCTTAGGGAAGTGAGGAGCATTCTCATGAAGATAAACTTATTAATAAATGGATTAGTTGGCTTATATAACTGGCAACTGTTGACAAAATAAAGGTTTTGCCACTCTTCTTTTAAAATATCACTTAATTTTCCAGGGTTGAGTTTGTACCACTAGACATCTATTTTGGCACATATAGCCACCACTACTGTACTACAAATACATATTCCAGTAGGAGAGACCTGGTTAAGCATCAAACAGCACAGCATTCCTCAAACTGGTGAAGAATCTACAACACACTTCTCTTTACATCATGGGGTTAATCAATCTCACAGCTCCTTATTCTGAATTATCAGAATTAAGTAACATAATTTCAAATAAAGAAGACACATTAGCAGGCAAGCAGTGATGAGCAATGTGGGCAAGGATGCTACACGGGCTTGCACATTCATTAAGTCCTAGGTCAGAGGCCCCACTCTGCATGCTAGCTGTAGGATGGTGACAAAATCAGACCAGGGTTTTTCATTTTGATGCCTCATGCTTAGGGAAATCTCTTTCTAGGGATGCTCTGCTGTAGCCAGCTCTATTGTCGCCCCACCCCCTTCAGTGACAAATGAAGACATTCCTTTTCTCCCTGGCCTTTTCAGAAAGATGCTTTTATCTCAACTGCTTTTATGTTCACCTACTGCCATTTATTACACTTTTTTAAAAAATACCTACTTTCTATTTTTTTCTTTGTGAGCTATTTAGAAACTTATGAAAGGCAACCTAAAATAACATCAACAATAGGAAATACTATCGGCGGCGGTGGGGACCTCTGAGATGCCTCCAATGACGGCAGAGAAGCCCTGGAAGGCATCCAGAGGCAGATCGACGGCCTACGGACTGGAAGGGCGAGGCAGGGAAAGCACCAAATTTGGAATACATCGAAAAGTACGTAAGTGGAGCCATTCATAAGTTGAGACTCCACTGTACATGCTAAAAATTCCAGCTCATTATAGGACTACTCTATTTGGAACTTTGTCCTGCCAGGTGATACCAAAAATGCGTCGGTGACAACATATATGGAACGTGTTCAGCTTCTTCTTCTGCTGTGCACAAAGGGTCCAGGACTCATTGCAGTACAGAAGTGTGCTCAGGACACAGGCTCTATAGACCTGGATCTTGGTATAAGCCGTCAGCTTCTTATTAAGCCATACTTTCTTTGTGAGTCTTGGGAACAAGGTAGCTGCTTTACCAATGCGTTTATCCAGCTCGACATCTAGGGAGAGAATGTCAGAGATTGTTGAGCCAAGGTACACAAAGTCATGAACAACCTCCAATTCTTGTGTGGAGAGGGTAATAGAGGGAGGTTAGTCCACACCCTGGCCATGACTTGTGTTTTCTTCAGGCTGATTGTTAATCCAAATTCTTGGCAGGCCTTGCTAAAACGATTCAAGAGTTATTGGAGGTCTTCGCAGACTGGGAAACAACAGCTGCATCATCAGCGAAGAGGAAGTCCCGCATGATTTCAGCTGGACTTTGGTCTTTGCTCTCAATCTAGAGAGATTAAAGAGCTTTCCATCTGATCTAATCCAGAGATAGACACCTTCTGTTGCAGTTCCAAAGGTGTGCTTCAGTGTGACAGCAAAAAAGATTCCAAACAGGGTTGGCGCGAGGACACAGCCCTGTTTCACTCCGCTTCGGATGTCAAAGGGATCTGATGTTGAGCCATCAAAAACTACAGTGCCCTTTATTTCTTCATGAAAGGATCTGATGGTGTTAAGGAGCCGAGGTGGACATCCTATCTTGGGAAGAATTTTAAAAAGGCCGTCCCTGCTAACCAAATCAAAGGCCTTTGTGAGATCCATGAAGGCCACAAAGAGTGGCTGTTGTTGTTCCCTACATTTCTCCTGCAACTGTTGGAGGGAGAATACCATGTCAGTGGTGGATCTATTACCTCAAAATCCACATTGTGATTCTGGATAGACCCCACAGGCACACAGGTAACAAAGCAACCCAAGTCTGAGTGTATAAATCAGCGATTCCCAATCTTGGGTCACCCAGGTGTCCTTGGACTGGTTCTTGTGCTGGACAACTGCTGGTGAAGACTTCTGGGAATTGCAGTCCAAGCCCAATTTATTATGGGTTTGTACACATTGTTATGTAGAAATAAAAGTGAACAAATGCATAGTTTAAATTTGTTAGCATAAATTGCAAAGCTATAGTCCGGTCAAGCTGACTGGTGATATTTCTGACTGACTGGTGAGACACATTCTAAAGTTTTTCATGCCCTGGCTATAATCCATCTCATCTGTCTGTTCCTCCCTCTCACCTACTAAGTTCTTATATCTGGAAACTTGTACAGTACGATTGCCATATCTGTGGGATCAGTACCCACAGTTTCACTTATCCGCTGCCTGAAAATATTAAATAAAAGACCCAGAAACACACTTTTTGAAGATATAATACCAGAAGTGGCCATTAGAGGGAACTAGAGACTATGCAATACATAAGGTTGACGATATCAGTGATTTCTAGAATCTGCCAGCGGGGACCTTGGAAGCCCTTGAGGATATTGTACTCCTACCATACTATTTCTGTTCTCCAAGTGGCTCACCTCTGAAGAGTTCAAAGATTTTGAATCTCGATAATTTATGGCTCTACTAATTGCTCATCATGAACATTTACTTCCCATTTTATAGAAAAATCTTATTTTACCCATTATCAGAACCTAATATTTGCACCTGCATAACTGGAATGGCATAACTCAAAGAAGCAAACAGCTCTTAATTGACAAATCTCTGATTATACTTCTAGTCATGTACTGATTTGCAAACTGGCACACAACTAGGAATTCAATCAAGGGCTTCTTGGAGCAACTAACTTGCTGCTCCAAATTATACCACTGCAGTCATACTAGTGTAAATATTCAATTGTATTCCATCCAGTAACTACCACTCTTACCTTTAGGTACTCTTTATAGCTCAATCCTACATCGTCTTCGCTCAGTATAACTATCTCCATTATTTGTCATAGGGCTGAAATATCACACACCTTATCCTTACAGCAACTACCATAACTCCAAAATTAATTCATATTAATTATTCTAACTGAAGAAATTAGGCTTATTATTTTCTCAGTAACATATTCAAAGACCTTTTTGTAACAAGCATAGCAGTCAGGTTCCTAACATTCAGATATATTTAAATTTAAAATATATGAGAAAGGAAAATAAACCTGTATCACTGCAGCAGAAGGCTAAGGCAACAGCAGTACAGTGGGTGGAGAAAAGAAGGATTAAAACATTTAAGAAACTACATTCCATGTCAAAGGAGAAAAAAAATCTGACAACACAGTCATCTAATATAAACTAATAGTAAAGTAACTTTAACTGCAACCACATTTACCTTCGTTTGCTTTTGCTGATAAAGATGGTAGGGTAAATCAGGTTGTTTTTTCTTTTCATGTTCAAATTTTTTTGATTCTTGGGTATTGCTTGAAGTGGATTCTGAAAAACTAAACAAAACTCTCAAGTCAGACTACTGTTTTCACTGTCCATAACATTTGCATTTGAACAAACATATCTACAATATCTATACACATTTTGATACCAATTGCAATTTCTAAAGTTCACAACCCAATTTCCTTTTTTAAAAACAGGAACAAGGGGCACGGGGTTACCATGGTAGTACAGAGCAGTTTCCCTGCTCCTGGGGGCAGTTGGCAAGAACATATTTGGTTGGAACTGAAAGAACCTCAACAATTGCTGGTCTGTTTATGAATCCAGCTCATGGAACTGATGCTCACATTTTAACGCTCTACATGGTTTATGGCCTATTCTTCTAAGAGAAAACCTACTCCTAAATTGACTGTGTACTAAAAGTTATCTATGGATAGTCTCCTCCAGGCATCCTCGCCATCCTAAATTAGGTTGGCAGAGGTTTAAGAGTGCCCCTCTTTCTGGAATTCTCTCCTCACTTAGGGTGCTTGGTGCCAATGCTGTATGAAATTCATCCAGTGTCTTTTTGCAAAGGGAAGGTTTTTGCCACAGGAACAAGACCTTGGATAATTCTGCTCTTCACCTAACTATGCTGGATCCTTCAGAGCAGATATAGATTCATTCTTTACTTACTTTAAATATCCTGCTACTAACGCACGAAGCAAGTATGAGAAGTAGAACACCGCCTTTTTCTAAAGTGCAATTAAAACTTCTAGTGTATATTCAGTGTTTGTGAGACTGAATCAGAAGACAGTCGTTTTGACCCATCATCTTAAATTCAAAACAAATAATCTTGTATATATACCCTGTCCTAAGGCCTACAGAAAGGGATGAGGTGGCGCTGTGGGTTAAACTGCAGAAGCCTCTGTGCTGCAAGGTCAGAAGACCAGCAGTCTTAAGATCGAATCCACAAGACGGAGTGAGCTCCCGTCGCTTGTTCCAGCTCCTGCCAACCTAGCAGTTTGAAAGCATGTAAATGAGAGTAGATAAATATGTACCACCACAGTGGGAAGGTAAGGTGTTCCATGTCTAGTTGCGCTGGCCACATGACCATGGAAACTGTCTACAGACAAACACTGGCTCTACGGCTTGGAGACGGGGATGAGTACCATGCCCTAGAGTCAGACACGACTGGACTAAATGTCAAGGGGAACCTTTATAAGGCCTACAGAAAAGCAACACATATGTACATACCAGAGCATTCAAGCTAAATACAAACAGCATTTGTCATAATCTGCAATGAAACAAGACCTGTACTGGCAGAATATTAACTAAACTTAATTAACTTCATTTTAATTTAATGACATAATCTGGAGCTAAACTTACTTTTTCTGGATAACTGGTTTCTTGATCCTGTGTTTATTTTGCTTGACACCTAAATCAATTTACAAAAAGACACTCAGGTCACTGACTAAATACTATCACAGAAGATTCTTTACTATATTTTGAGACTATCTTAAGGTGCACATATTACTTTTAATTTCTTCCATCTGTTTTTTCAGTTTCTCGTGTTGCTGAATAAGATCCTTAATTCCTTCAGGACTATCTTTGCAGAGCTCTTGACCTTTCTCATTGGCTTGAAGAGCTCTTACATGTTGCCCCAGAAGTGAAAGAGCATCACAAAATCGATAGTGCCCCTACAAGACAGAATGGAAAAAACATTTTTCTCCCTACTCATAAATATCAGTTTATGAATGATGCAATTTCAATTTACTCTAAGCAGTACATTTATTTTTCTTGTATTTAATAGGCTGATATAGTATATCTTTATATACACTGTATTCAAAATACTTTATGCACATATAAATGTGCACAGAATGGCAGTCTAACTGCAACAGAATCCCATTCATCCCACAAATATTAAGGGCATAAAAGCATTAATCTAAACCAGGAGTTGGGCTAAAAAAATGTAGTTTTCACAGTTATGTCAAGAACAGTTAACTGCTATGTTAACAAAACTCATTAAAAGGAGTATATAACAGCTGACCCTTTCAGTGTAAATACTATTTATCTTTAATTGCATTTTTATATTGGAATACTGTATCATTCACTGTTCAAAACACAGAAATTCCACTTATGGACATTTTGCTTCTCTCACAATCTATCCCCTTAAATATCCCACAGTAAGACCACAATATTCCTCAGGAGATCTCCCCTGGTAGATTCCAGAAATCATTGGAATCTAGCAAACCCTCTCCCTTCTCTCACGATCTATCCCCTGCAAATACATATTATACAGACTGGATTCTCAAATGTCCACCTTTTTTTCTTTTTGTCATGTAGGAATCAATTTGACAATTATAGTCAGACCACAACAGAATACTGGAAGCCCAGAGCCCACTCACGAAATATTCCTTCATACCTCCTTGTATGGCTTCTCTAATAGACAATCCTTGGTCAAATTATTTCATCCCACTAAAAGAAACTAACTAGTAGATTTAACCTAAGAGTTTACAGCATACAATACTTAAATCAAAGCAGAGGATCACTAGGGGATCCTCCAAGACAGTGGGAACCCTGTGTAACACGATGACACATTCCTATCTACCCCTTTGTCTCAGAACATACACTATCAAATCTGTTTACCTCAAAAATCCCAACTTATCAGTGATTAGTCCCTACCCCACCCCAGGATTCATCCCACCTTCATTTCAGTTTCACATTTTTCCACGAAGGAATCTCTTTTGTGCACATACTTTTACACTTTGTATTCTCAAGGTCTGGTTTATGATACATGTTTTAAGCCGCTCATTTTCACCTTAAATATAAAGATAATGGACCTTAAGATATATAGATTTTGCATTCCTATGGTAATCTTCCTCCCATGCACTTGCAAAGAATCCACCAATCCCTACCCAGAAGTGGGATTACTGAAAACATGTGCCCCCACCCCACCCCAGTCCATAAAGAAACACTGATACTGTTATTTTTATGAGCAGAAAGCACCCACAGGTGCTTGGAATTAAACCCTATGTCCAGGTATTTTAAACAATGAATAGCTAGGTGACCTCAAGTGGTATCCAACTTCTGGTGATCCTCCCAGGGTCTTCTGGACATAAAGTCCTTAGAAGTAACTTAACAGTCCGCCCTTCAGGTGACACTCTGGGACCATGTATCTTCCCTAGTCTATCACAGATGGCAGACACGCAACCACAACAGCTACCCATGCACTATGATCTTAGGTGGCCTCTCTCTCAGAAGCCACAGTACAGACTTGATCTCCTAGCCTCTGGGGCAACATGGCCAGGCACTCCAACCCACTGAGCTATACCAGTACTATTTTAAACAGTGCATTACTTTAAAATGTTAGCAACGGTGTGATATGAATTAATGTGTAAACTCTAAAATTTTAAGAAGCCAAAGAGACAATGTTCTAAAAACAAGCAAGACAAACAACCTTTTAATCAAGAAAGTTAAGTAAAAAGCAAAGCAAACATTCCTAATGACTCACAACTATGATATATAAACATCTACCCCACTATCACATGTTTGTCAGTGATTTGTAAGGACCAAGAGTGTCTCAAGAGTGGAAATCCATCAGCTTCCTGTTTACATGCTGGTTACATTTTTGCAAAGTCAATTGTTTTCAGACTTGTCATAGCTACAAAATAAATGCAACTAACCTTTGGCCAGTTTGGCTTCAAAATGACAGATCTTTTTGCATCATACAGGGCTTTCCTAAAAAGCAAAAGCATAACTTCATGTTTAAAATTACTGAATAAAAAACTGTCATTCTGACTGGCTGGATTTTCAAACTGCAGTACAAAACCTGCATGACTAAGTAAATCACACCTCTAAAATGGGAAATCCTGATTTACCATGAATTATCATTCTTGATAACAGGCAGCCTTCATGGTTGAGATAATATATCCTCCTGGCAAAAGCCAGATTTAAAATCTGACTGCATCAGGAGGAAAGGCATCTTTGTCTACACAAATCTAGCCTGGTAGGTCCAAATTCCCTCTCCCTATCCTATCCAACATTATCCATTTCACTAGTGGGAAAAAAGGTAATTTTTAGGCTAGATCCCTTTTACCCAAAAGTTCTGTCTTGGTAGTATTTCTTCTGAACAATCTTAGTGGTAAACAGGGGCTCTTTTACCTATAGTTTATGTCAGTCCTCCACTCTACCGTGCAGAACAAAAGAGGGGTAGGACAAAACAAACTCCTTCTTGAATTTATTTTTGGCCTAATGAAGAATCAGAGCTCTGTACAATCATACCCTGTTTCCCCGAAAATAAGACCTAACCTGAAAATAAGTTCTAGTATGATTTGTCATGATGCTCATAATATAAGCCCTACCCCAAAAATAAGCCCTAGTTAAGTAAAATCCCGCCCTCCACCATTGTGCAACATTGTGCAGCAACCAGAAGATGATATGATTGTATTTGAATAAATGTAGATTGTTGTACATGAAAAAAAATAAAACCTCCCCTTAAAATAAGCTCCAATGTGTTTTTGGAGCAAAAATTAATATAAAAATTTCTCTCATTTTCGGGAAAACACGGTATATTTATGGAATATGTAGAGTTCTTTGCTGGCAGATGAGGCCTATATGAGCCATTTGGTTTGAGACTTGGCCAACTCAATCTAAGCAATTCTGATTTCTGAGCCCCAATGCCAAACTATTTCAAGCTGTCTGTTGGAATGAGGATATGTTTACTTTGTTTCATGTGACTTATGTCACACATAATAAGAAACAAGACATAAATTTTGTAACCTGCATTTATTTTCTCCTTAATTTATGGTCAATCATTATGTGCCACACTAAACAAACTTGCCCCTACAGTAAAAGAGCAGAAATGAGGAATGTATGTCCCTCTTGATTTGTTGGATAACAAATCAGAATTCCAAAGAAGGTTTGTAAAGTAGAGGAACATACTTTGAAAAGGCATACACAAAACTTTCTAATCTACTCTGTATTTTCAGAAGTTATTCTTCCAATCTACTGAAAACAGTAACTTTTCCTCCTGCATTTGTTCCTGCATGATCTAAAAATGATGCTACTTATACTCTTAAGGCTTTAAGTTTATTCTTTCCTCTGTTATAAAAAGTGGGTGAAGAGTATGCTGAACAATTTTAAATTTTTTATTACAAATGCGCAGAATACATATTTCATAGTTGATTAGTCTCTCACAATAAATGGGTTGGAAAAGGAAGCACTGTATTTCAATTCCATGTAAATGAACAACACATTGAACTCC